ATTTTAAGTGCATGCTGTTCCAACTCCCAAGAGCTGTTGCTTGTACCAACCACTTGCAGGTGGATCTCAGGGTTTCAGTAAAAAAGTTAAACCCACGATACTGTTCTAGAATGCACACTTAATGAGTAGATAAAAGTCTAAGAGATCAAGCCAGCCGCAGTGAATCCTTTGGATCGTGGTCAGATTTGCCTAGAGCTGTGTTCTTCAACTTCATCAACTTTAAGATGTGTGGACTTCAACTCCCAGAATTCCCCAGCCAGCCATGCTGGCTGGGGAATTCTGGAAGTTGAAATCCACACATCTTAAAGTTGATGAAGTTGAAGAACACAGCTCTAGGCAAATCTGACCACGATCCAAAGGATTCACTGCGGCTGGCTTGATCTCTTAGACTTTTATCTACTCATTAAGTGTGCATTCTAGAACAGTATCGTGGGTTTAACTTTTTTACTGAAACCCTGAGATCCACCTGCAAGTGGTTGGTACAAGCAACAGCTCTTGGGAGTTGGAACAGCATGCACTTAAAATTAAAGAAGTGGGTCTCTCGAGCACATGAGTAGCTTGTTTTCAGCACCAGAACTGAACGTACAATTCTTTCATATAGAAGTCCATCTTAGTCTTGTGCCAGCATTCCTAATTTCAGCGGCCTGTTTTATAGGGTGGGGAAAGCCTCATGATCAGTCTTCTAGCCAGCCAGCCAGTATCCTTCTGGGCTACTACATTCCATTCCTTATTCCCCACAGACACTGAGCAGGCTGATTTCCTTATTCTGTTTATTCCCCCAACTTTGTTAATGTCTTCTGCTTTAAGATTTATCCATCTGTAGCTCTATTTTACTGCCATCAGAGGATGTATGAGCTTCAAAATGTTGCAAGGTAGAGATCTAGCTGTTCAGAATCCCATTCACTTCATTCCACACCTCCTCCACTGGGTTTCTGGTTTCTCTCCAATCATCAGTCAACATCCCAATGACCATTGATGCCCTTAGACTTCATTGGGCAACTTTAACAATTCCTTCCCATAAGGATGCTTTTCTACATATTCCAGCAAACTTTGAGATAACCCCCAGCCTGTTTACACACCCTTCTTCTATGTAGATGGAGTTATTTTATCTACAGTGGCAATACATTTTATCTACAGTTTCAACACTGGAAGCAGCAGAAAATTATGTCTGGGAGCCAGAAACCCCTCCTGATCTATAGCAAATTGCCCAGGGATCAGCCAGGAAATGCAAAATTATCTCCTGCCCAGTTTTCCACTCTCATGTATGTTGTACAGATATTTGGTGTCCCAAGGCTTGATTGAAACTGCACACCATAGTAACTTAGCTAGTTAAACTGCTCCATGCCAATCATCTGGAAACTATCTCTCTGTCTCTCTATCTCTATCTCTATCTCTGTCTCTATGAAATACACACACAAACACACACACACACACACACACACATATATATATATATATATATATATCTGGGAAATCTATATGTGTTAGCATGAATTCCATCATGGCAGATAAACAAGAAATAAAAGCAATAAATAAAATTAATTAATTATAGTAAACAAGTTGTTCTCCAAGGAAGGCACTTCCATCATTACTGATCATGATTATTGAAAAAAAAAATCCAAACAACTTCCAAAGAACCCTGATATTTCCTAGTGCAAAACAGACTTTAAAGTCCTATAGCACACTTTCACTAACCATATCTAATCAGTTAACAGAGGATTGCTCAGAATGGCAATACTCACGATTTGTCTCTTCGGCAGGCCCGCCTCTGAGGGCTGGCTTGTCTTCGTCGAGGGGACAAGGACTTCCCTCGGGATCTCTGCTTGACTGGAGAATGGGCACTTGCAGGCTTCAAAATCTTGAAAGAGAAAAATGATTTATTTCAGGATGTGTTTATTCATAATGGCTGGCTTGCACTATGCTTTTATGTTTTAATAAGTCATACAAGGTTTGTAATGACTGCTGGAGAATTCTGGGAGTTGAAGTCCATATGTCATAAAGTAGCCAAGGTTGAAAAACACTGCCTTAGACCATGTCCAACGGTTGATCTAGCGGGCTCAGAATTGTTTGTTAGAGATAAAGCTCCTTCAGGTCTTTTTTGTTTCTTTATTTGTTTGCTTTCTGGAGTACACTCCCACATTCCCTTGCTATCGATCTTTTTGGCTCCAGGTTGACACAAATTGATGGACATAACATCTGAGGATAGCAAATTGCCTGTCTCTGGTTCACAGTGACTTGCTACAGTTCTCTACGGCTTCTGTGCGTAGTCTTTTCCTGTCTAGCCTAAGGTATCAGGAGATTGTTTCTGAGATCTTTCAGGTACAAAGCACTGAATGAAAAGCTAACAGAAAAGGAATAGAAACCAAAGTATCCATGAGCTATCAGGAATTTCTTTTCGTGATCTGAAGATATTAGGAGATGATGCCAGTAATACATAGTTCTCCTGGAAATTATTCCCAAAATATCTGTAAGTGCAACCTCTCACCATCATTACATTTTTGTCACAGAATTTTTCTTCCAAATTGGTATATACGACACAGAAATCTAGAAATTAGCCTCTCTTAATTGAGAAAGTTAAACCTCAATGAATTAGTAAGACCATTATTTAGCTCTACAGTCTGTATGTAGCAGCATCATAGCCCCAGAGATCAAAGCAAAAATTTTGAAAATCACAAGTTGAAGGTTGTATTCTACTCAGATCCTATTAGCTGATTGCCAGAAGAAAGTATTTATGGAAGCCAGACACAAAATAAATGTAGGATTACTAAGGAATAATTTGTTTAGGCAGTAAACAAACAATCCTGAAGAGAATATTCAAGTATCCAGAAAGCATACATATAGACATACACATACACACAGACCTGCCATTCCACAACCACCTGGATTTGCAAGTTTCCAATAAAGAGGGTGAATGTGCTCCGCTGATCCCCTAAGTCACTCTCATTTGCTATAGTTTGCATTCTATGGGCTGGAAGACAGAGTCATGGTAGGGAGTGAGACCCCAAACAGAGACAAAGGGTGGAGGCATGCAAAGGAGTGCATGATCTCCTTAAGCAGAAGCACAGGCACTAAAAGAAACCTCTTTTCTGCAAAGGGCACTGAACCTGTAATACATCTAAGAAGTAACCATCCATCACCACTGCTTTGCTGTCAAAGATATGCCATATTGGGGGAATCAACCTGCATAGGAAATATTCTCCAGCTGTAGTAGACTTCAGATACATACCCACTGATATACACAAGTATGACTAATAATGAAGTCATTCTCTGGGGCACCATTAACATACCAAAGCAAAGCTCTGGAGAACTCTAGGATTGCAGAAATCAAACTTAGATAAAGAGGAAAAAATAGCTCTACAAGGATTGAGCATGCTCAGGGGGGACTACTTGCTAAATGTTGCAGGTCTCACCTGCGCAAACTTCAAATGGAAAGCAATAGTCATAAGGTCAAAATACATGGCAATTGTTATGGAATGGCATGGGACTGGAAGGGGGGTAAAGAAAGTGATCTCGTCTCCAGAGCAACGCGCTGGAGATAAGAGGCGAAAGCTGATGCACCCCTAACATTCCAGGAAATAGTGAATTCTTGTTCCTGGGAACTAGCCGGCAGTCTGAGAAGATTTCTGTAAACAATCACTAGCTAATAAACCTTGCTGATTGAACCTGCACGGTCTCCAGAAGTTCCTTGGGCTAGGCCTGACATCAGATTGACTGATGTCAACTATTAAGGGGGCAGCTAACAGATAGAAAAAAAGCCCTTTGCTGCTACTGTTAGGCAATTAATAGTTTCAAGGATTTTAAAAAGAAAAAAGAGGAGTTCCATCAGGTGAGGGTACAATGGGAATGGGGGAAAAATGCAGGGCATGGAGCAACCAGAGGGTTGTGCATTCCAGCTGGGGGAGGCTTTTTTTCCTACGTGCTGAATGACAATGGTCAGGGCTGGAATTTCAGCCAAGAGAACTGCCAGTCATGGCCCTTTGAATGTTGTGCATTAAGGCTCTATGAACAGCAGCACAGCACAGGCCCATTCCAAGTATACAGTACTGCCAGCTCCAGGATGGGATGGGTGTATGGCAAAGCAGCTATAGGGATGTGGCCATACTCTGGATCTGCTTTTTACCTTTATTGGTCTTCGATGAAATCAGCCAAATGACACTTGTTGCATTCACAGCTTTCCCAAGTAAAGCAGTTTCCCACGCTCATTTCCAAATGTCACAGAAATAGGACATACCTTCATCCTCATGTCCCTGGCATATTTCTCCAACTCCTTCCTTATCTCTAACCGCATCATCTTTGACATATTAAGCACCAACTGCTTCCATTCAATGGGCTGAAAACTGTGAGGCTCATGAGGGACATACAATCCAATCTTCACTTTTTTTACCGAATGTAAGTACTTTTTATAGGAGTCTTCAAATTCAAAGATGAGGTCACTCAGAGTTCGGTAGATTAAGGGCTTGTCCATCAGCTCTGACCTTCGGCTCATGCCCAGTGATCCATATCGGCCATTGAAATAAATTCCAAGCACCACATGATGAAAATTGTTCCCTGAGAAGTGGGATTTAAAGCTGATTGGGAATCGTTCCACAGAAGGCTGCCCATTGGTTAAGTATCTGGTAAGGGTCACGTCAAGGCAGCAGTAAACTTAGATTCTGAACTGTAGAAAATGCTTTCCAGGTGTCACTGTTTGTGATTTGATGCTGTGTTCCACTGATTCATGTTGTTCCTCCATCTAGCCCTCTATTTCTTATCCAACCAAGAACAGATAAAAGGTCTTTTCTAAGGTGGCCATGTGCTTATCAGAAAGAACTTCCGGAAGATGTATTTTGTGTGAAATCAGTCCAAGTCCAGTTTAAAATAAAGAATGGAGTATAAGGGTCTTCAGGTTGGCTATGCCCATAATATGTGGACAGCAAATTGAGCCAGTTACTGGTGAACTGGTTATAGTCCTCACCATCATAGTAAGATACCCTGTATTCTCCTTGAAATTAGAGCAATGATTTCTAAATGTGCTTCTATATAACTTAGCATATGGACATGTTATGCAAAACTATTCCTAGCAGTATTACCTAAGATCTTTTTAACTGAATATGTCAAAGACTGGTCCTGGGATCTTCTACATGTGAAGTCTACAGGGTCTGCCATCAAGCTGCACCCCTCCCAAATCATTAGACTGTTTCCACAGTAGAGTTGGGAAACCTGTATACTTCCAGATATAGCTTAACTACAACTGCACCATTGGAGATGCTGATTGAAGATGCAGTTCTCCACCTCTAGAAAGCCGGAAGTACCAGCCCAGACTTCCTGTGAGTGCCATGGTGAGCTGACATCTTACTGGCTTGCTGGCTAGTAAGACAGCTTTTGTGAGGGAAATCATGGCTGGATGTTGGATCCGGGCCAGTGTAATCTCTCTGGATCAAAGGAGAGATCGTTGAGATCATCCACGTGACCCTGGACAGCCACTATTTATGAGTAGACTGTGGAAACTGTCAT